GTTGCACAATGATGTACATACGCTTAATGCCAAGAACTATACATATTAAAATGGCAAGTTTTATGTTATGGATATAGTATATTTTACCATAACAACAACAACAAAAAAGACAGGAAAATAATTTTCCCAAATTTGATTTTTTATTTAGAGCTAAACTCTTGTAGTAGCCTAAGCTAGGCTAAGCTGCTCAGATTCTCCTTTGAAAGGGTCTTTCTCCAGATGGTGGGGCTACACTCAGCTCTCAGTCTTCACTTGCAAGTTGCCCTAGACTGGAGATAGCTTCCTCTTCCAAGGTCAGATCATAATTCTAGGGTGGCTTGAATTTGGTGACTGGTCAATGTGAGCATATTGCAACTAGTTTCAGTGTTCTCCCAGGACTGAGGCCTTGTTGGGCCTTCCTGTGGCTCTCTTTATCTTTCTTTCCAATCTGTTTTTTTCCCCAACAACACAGTTGTTGATCCTGAAAGCACTCTCTAATAAACTTCTTGTACCAAAAAAAAAAAAAAAAAAAAAAAGAAAAAGGAAAAAATCCTTTCTTCCTTGATGCTTTACTTCCATTGATGCCAGAAAAATTGTCATAACAACTCTATTAATATATGAAGAGTGGGATTTGAAAGGCATCCTTTGAAGTTGTGCAGTGCACAACTTGCCACAGAGAAGCAGTGGTTCTGGGTCAACTGTTTCATTCCCCTGCTTTGGGGAGTTCCTAGTATCTTTCAGCTAAATTGACTGTTGAGTGTCCAGGAGTTCTTCGTCAAGACCTGAATCAGCTTTGAATAGGGAGGGAYGCATGTCGCTTCAGCTCTACCATGTAGTAAAGCTTAGAAGTAATTTCTGGTATCAACCAGATCCAGAATATAAGAAGCTAGGAATAAGCTCTGGGGATTCCCTAGAGACGTTTACTCTTTAGGTTTGGAGTTTGATTACACCTCCCGGGCCTGATGCTTTCCTGGCTCGTGCTCAGTGCTTTGGACACAATGCTTTCCAGCTTCTTGTAGTCCCAAGTCATCTGCTTTGGTCTTAAGCTGCTGTGCTACCCACAATGCATTTCGCCCATGTCAATAATGAAATAGAATTCTTAGGGTAGCTGTGAGTTCTGGGATCATACCTGGGGTCCCCCTTCAAAACAGCAATAGGAGAGAAGCCTTAAATAGGGGCACTTTACTCTAGACCAAGTTCATTTTTCAAAGCCGAGTTAGTGCATAAGATAATGAGAGTGACCAGGAGTTGATAACTATATTTAATTTATTTTATAGCCTGATAACAAAGTTCTCATACTGAAAGAGAAGAAAATCCCTTTCAAGTTCCCTTCCTTCTTTGCCATTATCTATACTTCTTTATCATCCATTGCTAGGGAGAGTGGTCTACATTTCTGGCTCAGTGACRTCTCCCTTTCCCACTACTCCATGAATGCTCTTGGAGACCACTAAGGACTTGCTAACAATTATATCCAGGAAACTCTTTTGAACCTTCATCTTTCTGGACCATTTCAAGACTTTCTTTTCCTATAGGTTTTGTGACACTGTCTTGATGTTTCAATTCCTTTTCTTTCTGATTGCTTTTCTACTATCTCTTTGGTAATTCCTTCTGCCCATATCTTAAACTCTGATGTTTTGTCTTCTATACATCTGCACTTAGATATCCCTCAAACACCTCAAACTTAGTGTTTCTACAGCTGACATAACTGTTCCTTTGCCCATTGCCTAGTCTGAATCTCCTCTCCCAGCTACTCCCTGTTTCTATCACCAGCAGTTGTTCAACTGCCCACATTGGAGACTCTGGAGTCATCATTTTTTCTAGATCTTTGTCAAATATCCTTATATTGCTTCCCTGTGCAAAATGATAATCCTTCCTCACCCCAGAAGTCCCTACCCCTACCCCTCCTTATTGGTATTTACCACCATTTATATACTAGATGTCTAATGATTTCTGTCTTCTCCATAAGTATAGAAGGTGAAGAAGGTTAAGACTTGCTTTTGTCCCTCATGCTTATAGTAGCATTAGACACTCAGTTGATACTCAAAACAAGTACATAAAAGGAATGTGGATTTCTTCCTCTGCCTCAGACTCTGATGGAAAGTTCTAAAGTTCTGTTTTGTTCTTGGAGTGTTTCTCAAGTCTGTGCTCCTCTTTGCTTCCTTTCCCACTGCCCCACTGCCTTCAAGTAGGATGTTCCACACCACCCTGGCCTCCTTGCTGTGGCTGTCTTCTTAGACCATGCTCTGATTTACTAACCAACCTCCCTCTCTAGCACAGTCTGGGTGTCTTTTTCCTGTTTCCACCCCATGGATGTTTTGCACAGTAGATGCTCATTGATGTGTGTGTGCCTGACAGCTTGGGACTCTCTCTGGGGAGAGAGGTCTGGGGAGGGCAGCAGTTTTGTCCCATTTTAAACTGAGGTTCAGGGAAGAATTGAAATGCAATGCAGTGCAGAGCTGAGGAACTGGAGACAAGTGAGGCACTCTGTTAAAAGAACATGGGAGAGATACTCAGTGTGGACTGGAGTAACTGGGGCAGAATTCTAGAATGAGTCATTACAACAGAGATCAACAGCTACATGGGGCAGGGAGGGGCTGGAGAGAGAGAGAAGGGAAAAAAAAACTCAGTCATGCTGAAGTGAGATAGGATTTCCACACTTGTCTACATTGAAAAGCTAAAAATAGGGACATTTGGGAAGAAAAATAGCGAGGAATCTTTTAATTTTACTGACAAGGGCTAAAAGGAGGGAGGTTTGCAGGAAAGAGTGTGTCTCTCACTATTGGTGGTAAAATTAGAAAAAATTTGTTCTGGGTCCTCCAACCTTCATATCCCTTTAAGCCCTGGCCTATTCACTTCATCTTTCTCTACTATTAGAACCTCTTCTTTAGGAAAAAGTCTGATTTGGTCATATAYATATATTTATAAAATTTCATGGGGTAATTTTGCGTATTAGCACGCTCGCGGACACACACACATATGAAGAGAGAGAGTCAAATTTCTGTTGCTGTGTCAACTACGTTAGACATACAACTTATAAAAAGGAAATTTTTATTTTGGCTCACAACTTCAGAGTTTTAAGTGCATGGTTGCTTGGCCCTGCTGCTTTTGGGCCTGTGGCAAAGTTGTACATGGTGGTTGTGGGGAGCATGGCAGGGGAAACAGCTTACCTCCTCACCTCTGGGAAGTAGAGGACAGAGAAGAGGGACCAAGTTCCAATTTCTCCTCCAAGGGAACAACCAATGGCTCCCTTCTAGTAGGCTCCACAACCTAAAGTTTCCACCATCTACCAATATGGCCACCCTAGGGACCAAGTCTTTAGCATACGTGCCTTTGGGGGACAATCCAGATACAAACAATAGCATATATGGTTCATTACACCAAGCCACAGTGGTTGTTCAACAAATATTTATTGAAAGATGTTCAAAAAAGCATTGTTTATATTATCAAAATCTGGAAACAATATAAATAGCCAGTGTTGGGGGAACAACTGAAGAATCACCCTTAGGAAGAAATATTAGTTTTAAAAATATTTAGAAAACCTTTTTAATAACTCCATGGAAATGCTTATAATGAAACATTAAGGAAAACAGGCAGACTCCACAGATTCCAAATTGCAACTCTAGTATGCCCATTATAAAAGTCACATGGATGGATAGAAGACTTATAAAATTTGTGGGTATCTCTGAAATTTGTGGGCCTTGGGATTATTTTCAGAGCCTTCTTTCTACTTTTCTGTATTTTTGAATTGTTTATAATTGATGGAAGATGAATATTACAAGAGTAAATGGGAAGGATTGGTTTAGGGGAGAAAGCACTTTTAAAAGTCTCTCCAGGTCACAGTGTGTTGATGTGGCCTGCTTGGTAGAGGACAGGAGGAGAGGGGGAGGAGATTGGGCCTCTCCAGAGATGAAGGGTGGCGGCTCAGCCAGCAGAAGAYGGGTTTCTAAAATGTGCAACAGCAATAGGGAGCCTGCTCTTTAAACAAAATGGCAGTGCTTGGTGATGCTGGCCCATGACATCTTCCTGGATCAGGGGGTTTCACTGGGCAGAGCTACAGGGCAATCCCACTTCTGGACATCCTCCTCTTACATGCAAGCCTTGCTCAGGTGCTGAGACCTGTTTCTTTTCACCCTCACCCCTTCTTTTTAAAACACAGCTGAAGGATTAATTGAAGTCTTTGTGTTTGTATCTCAGTAATATTCTACATTAATATCCTTAAGAATCGATGTTGTGTCCTGATGAAGGAAAATATTATTTAAGGTTGCTCCTATAATACCTACAAAAAAGGTATAGGTACATAAAAGTCTTGTCTGTTTTAAAAATAAGACCACAGATTTCAGTATTGGTAAACAAGAAAAAGGTTTTCTTCAGATTATTTCTAGAAATTTCTTAAACATCTGCATTTTCTTCTACTTAAGTTGCTTTCCACCTCTTTCCCCTGGGAGCTGCTGCCTGGTCTTGTGTTGCCTCTCTGTGGAAGAGCAAACTTCAAAGCCAGGATAAAACAAACAAACAATACAAAAAAAAAAAAAAAGGAATCCAGCAAGAGTAACCACCATCCCTCTTCAAATTTCTAATTTTCTGCACTTGGGGGGAAAAAAAGTAGTCCTGTGTTGCAAGGCTCTTAGGATCTAAATGGAGGGATTCCACAACTTTGAAAAATCTAACCAAATCATCCAAGATTTTGTTTTTATTTTTACTAGTTATTAAAATATCCAAAATCCTGATTAAGAAAGACAGGGTGGCAGGAGGGACCGTGAAAGCATGAGGGGAAAGTGTGAAAAGAAGAAATCCCAGTTCTGCCAGGGAGACTGCTTGTGAAAGAGCCCGGCTCCCTCGGTAGCTCCAGGCCGCGTTTTGCAGGCGGCTGCATCTGCCTCCCCTGTCTCTTTTACCTCCTTGATGTTCGGCACTATTTGTGGCCGGCGTGGTGGAAGGACACAGTGAGGTTCTCACCCCCGCCCCCCGCCCCCCGCTCCCATCCCCAGTTCCATCAAAGCGAACCCGGGCCAGCGCAAGGATCTCCGAGTTGCGAGTGTGCTGAGGCTGGGACTGTCACTCATTCTCCGATCAGCGCGTGAACGCAGCTCGGCAGCCGCTGGCAGGAAACAATTCTGCAAAAATAATCATACTCAGCCTGGCAATTGTCTGCCCCTAGGTCTGTTGCTCTGCCGCCGTCCACACTCGCTGCAAGGGGGGGGGGCACAGAATTTATCGCGGCAAGAACATCACTCCCAGCCAGCAGATTACAATGCTGCAAACTAAGGATCTCATCTGGACTTTGTTTTTCCTGGGAACTGCAGGTACATTTTTTTGTTGTTAATTCTCAATCTGATTTGCTAATTGTCCCTTCCACCTACGCCTCCCATGAGGAACACTGTTATTTTGGGTGGYTTTATGTGGAACGCTAAGACGGGTCATTTTCGTTGGGCTGAGAAAGGAGTGCGTCGCCCTTGCTGCCCAGCCGAACCCCGCGCCCTCCCGGGTTGCGCTGGACCGGGGCTGCTTCCCCGCGCCGGGAGCGCTCTGCGCCCCTCCTGCGCGTCCGTCCTTCCCACTTTGAGTGCGGGCGGCGATAGGAGAGGGCTGGTCGGCTCCCGGGGACGCTGCGGCCGCGCTGGCGATGGGCAGCGCTCCTTCTCTGAAGGCGGGCAGCGGCGCGGGGGATGCCGCGGTTCGGGTGGTGCCTCCTCATAGCCTCGCATTCCGSGAGGAAGGGGCTTGTCAGCCCCGGCTCCAGGAAGAGTGAACAATAAGGCCGGGACAGTCACCCCTAATCGTTATTTCCCCGGGTGTAATAAAGTGGGACTCGCAGTCTCCGCCCCACCTCCCTGGGCCGAATAACGGTTTGTAAAATGGGGCGAAAYGGGCAGAATCGCAGGGCTGTGTGGCCGTTGTTGCACCCCCGTCCATATGACGTTAGTTTTTCATTTGCCAAATTGCTGGTTAGTTGCAAAGCCTGCCCTCGGCCGGGAGCACGGAGGGATGGGAGGGTCGAGCGCCGCGTTTTGACAGGAGGAAGTGCAGAGGGGCGGAGGGCGAGGAGGGCGTGATCTGGACTGCCTGATGTGTGTGTGCGCGCGTGTGCCTTTACACGCACCGCGAACCCAGTTTTTCACRGTGCCAGAGAAGAATGGCAGGTAGCCGCCCGAAACACCTCGCCCCAGTCTCCTTTCTTTGGGCGAGGTTCCTGATCCTGGCAAAGTGCGAACAATAGGGATCTGGGAGGAAGACTGTAGGGACGTTGCCGCGGGTAGCGGGGGCTGTGCCGCCGCCCAGAGAACCTAAGCAGCCGGGAGGGAGGCGCATTTCATTTTGACTATTTCCATCTCGGCCTCCCTGCAAAATTCTTCTGTGCGTGCCCACCCTCCCGTCCAGCTGCTCCCCCACCCCACCCAAGGATTTGCGCTTTGGCGCTGACAAACGGGAGGGGACGGAGAAAAGGAGCTGGGGCCGCAGAGGGTTGGGTGGGTTGGGCGGACAGTCGGTGAGGAACGTGTGCTGGAAAGCGCCGGCGGAAAGCCGGGCGGCGGGGGCAGTGCTTCGCAAACAYCGCTGCCAGGTGCCGCTGTACCTGCCCTGGAGGGCAGAGCCCCGGTGGAGAAGCGCGCGGGGCGGGCCGGGGAGCACCCAGCGTCYCCCGCCGCAGGCGGCACCGGAGCTGCGGCGGCCGACGCCTCCAGCCAACTCGGGTCCCTCCCATGGCGACCAATCAGAGCTAGGCTGGCTGGGCGGGAAGCCGCGAGAGGCTTTTATTGCGGCGCGGGTGGCGGCCTGAACTGCCAGGACAGTCTCCGGTGTTCCAGCCTAACGGTCTCGCTAGCTCCCGGCCGGGAGAGACCCCGCCCTGAGGCCGTGCCCCGCCTGCCCGACAATTTCTGAGGAAATAAAATGGAGACTGGGTGGTCACCTGGCGGTCTCTTAGTCCCGTACGCCGGTGCGCACCCACTCTCGCCTCTTTTACGCCGACTTGGAAYATCCTCGCGCTCCCTCCAGCTCACACCCTCTCGCGGTGGTGTCCTGGCCCCAGCGCGACGCCTGGGAGGTCCGCAGGGAGCCGACTAGGAGCTGTGGCCAGGCTCACCGACGCGCGTGCGCTGACCCACTAGTCGCGGGCCGGGGGCTAGACTGGAGGCGAGGCTAGGGGCAGGGCAGGGCAGGGCGGGGCGGGGCGGGGCGGGGCGGGGCGGGGCGGGGCCGAGCCTTGGCTGGGAGCTTGGGCTGGGTCCCTGTGGCCACCTGGCTGGGGCCTCCAGGGGCTTGTCCTACCCGTTTGCGCCGGTGGGTCTCTATGACCAGACCTCTCCAGGTGGGGTGGGGTGTAGMTGGGGAGGTGTGTGTTTTTGAGATTTCCTCCCCTCTGGGTGGGAACGTGACAATGGAGACCTGATCTTCAGTACGCCTTTTGGGGGATCGCCGGACCATCGTCTTCATCAGCGAGATGGGTGTAACCCTCAGTATTTAGATCCCATGGGAGTTACAGGCGGCTAGTATACGCCCAGGGAATCCACCTCGGGATGTTGGTGGATGCTCAGGCAAGGGTGGCATTCTAACCAATGTTCCCTGGAATGAAAACGTTCTCTTTCCTGGACCATGCGGATGGGAAGAAGGCAGAATGTAAAAAACGTAGGGGGCTGCTTAACAAAAGAAAGAAGTTGAATGGTTGGTTTTATGAAGAGAAATGATTTTCCATTGGAGTATTGTTTCTACCATAGTTTAAAAAAATCCAGAAAATTCAAGTCAAAGAGTCAGGATGAAAATGAAAACAATATAACACACACACATGCACACAAGAATATTCTTTTTCTTATTTGTCCTCAAATGCTGTAGCATCTCCAGAGACAATGGTGATTGTCCATGTATATGACAATTTAGATACAAGGTGTACTAATCTCAGTACATCAAATGAGTCAGGTAACTGTTTCTCATGTTTAATATCTTCTGCTGCTTGGGAATAAAGTGAAAGGATGTGGAATTATATAGTAAATTTGTGTCTATTCTAGCAGCACTTTTGGATGTTGTGTGGAAAAATTGTTTGCTTGAATAACCTGGAATGGCTGAGTTACATGATTACTTGGTAATTTTACAATATRCCAGTTTAACCTGCAAAAGTCAAGGAATGGATAGGACTTTAAAAGGAAAAWAAAAGATAGCACCAGAGTAAGAACAACGAGCACCTTTGCTACATTATGAAAGGCTATGTACATAAGTACATTTAATATCCTTTGTTAAATTAATTAAGATGAATTTCAGCAAAGTTTGCTGGGAGTAGTTACTGAGAGTTGCATTTTTTAGTAGATTTAATGTGTTTCTTTGAAAAGAACTTAACTGACAATGACAAAACTGTAACAATTCTATCCAAAATCCAAAAAAAAATCCCTAAACATTATATTCTTAAGATAAATATTGGCATATTTAAAAATATTGAAATTAGCTTGGAATCCATTTAAAACACAACAGAGTTTTAAAATGGGGAATAAAAAACAGACATTGTAGAGGGGTGGCCTGTCATTTACTCAAGTTTTATTTACTGTTCCCACTACAAAGAAGATACTACAGAATTCTGGCTAAGGTTTCATTAATGTACTTTTTTTTTCTTTTTGTTTTCTGAAGATTGAACCCAGGGGCATTTTACCAGTGAGCTAAGTCCCCAGTCCCCTTTTTATTTTTATTTTTTTGAGATGGTTACTGCTTAGGGTATCATCAAATTGCTTTGGACCTTCCTTGCTAAGTTGCTGAGGCTGGCCTTGAACTTGTGATTCTCCTGCCTAAGCCTCCCAAGTTGCTGGGATTACAGGTGTGCACCACTGTGCCTAGCAGTTTTTGTTAGTCTAATACTTTTGGTACTCCCTTCCTCTCTCCTCAAATGATTGCACTTGATGACTATTTTTCTGAATACCTTTACTGGGACCTAAAAAAAAAAAAATAACATTGGAATAGAACAAAATGACAAGACCTATCTTTCTTGCAGTGATGGAACTTCCTCCATTTGTTCTTATGCCAATGAATTAGCCTTGGAGTTTGTTGATTTAATTGGTAACTGGTTCCTTGAGCTTGATAGTTCAAGGATTAAGGGAGTAATTGACACACACACAAAGAAAGCTCATATATATATATATATATATATATATATATATATATATATATATATATATATATATATATATATATATATATAAACATGGTGTGGTGTGTTATTTGCAAGGGATGTGGGTGTTTACCTCAGGCAGAAAGCAAGCAGAGGAAGCAGTAAGTCACAGGGAGTCCCCACATCCCAAGAGTTTGCATAGCTTTTCTCTTTGGAACCCTTTATCATTAATTAAATTCCTTAGACAGATAGCATGTAATTTAATGTAAAGAGTCTGTATCTGTATTTTTCTGTTCATAGGGAACAATGTCTTAATATGTAGGTCTGGGGTTGTGGCTCAATGGTAGAGTGCTGGCCTAGCACACCTGAGGTACTGGGTTTGATCCTTAGCACCACATAAAAATGAAATAAAGTCTACAACTAAAAAATAAAATATAAATAAATATCACCATTTTGTCATTTAAAAACTGATCTTTAGACATGACAGAGGATTTTGTTAGCCCCAGAACTCTGTTTCTTAAATTCTAGATAGCATTTTGTAAATTTCACATTACTTGAAATATGGACTTTGGGATTTCTTGTGCAACCACTTAATTTTAAAAGACAGTCAAACCTCTCTTTAGTATTAGTTTGATGAATTCCCCATATTTACATCATCAGTGTTAAAGACTGTGGCCACTCTCCAGGCTGAAAGTAGCTTCAATGCCACTGGCAGACCTCCAAAGGTATTTTACAATCCTTCCTGACTTCCTGTAAAATGAGTGATTGACTACCTGTTGCTAAAGAACAGTTAGAACTTCCCCTGATGATCTTGGGTTTGTGGTGATGGAGACCAGAACCAATTGGCAGGGAGGGGAGGGCAGGGGCTGCACCTGTCCCCATCTGTCTACTGGGAACAGAGGAGACAAAAACATTTAAAAGGGGCTCTTCTGTGCTTTTGAAAGGTGAAATTATAGAAGTTTCATGGTGTCAAGATAAATATTTTAGTGTAAGTTCTATAAATAATAATTCTTCAAATTAGCAAATATATAGACAAAGGAATGCCTGGAACTTTTAGAAGAAGAAATAGCTGCAAATTACAAGTCAATTTTTGCTTATCTTAAAACTGGGTAACAAATTAAATARGATTGGAAACACTGGTCATTTGGCTGTATAAAATAATAGTTATTTGAGCTTTGAAGCAAAAAGACTAAAATTGAGATATACCTTTGGTTA